TCCGTGAAATTAAATTCAACGATGCAAATAGGCTATACTGCATTCAAGTTAGGGTCGAAAGTTGAAACTTCTTTCCTTAATTGTATCCTGCTGATACGCTAAGAATAATCTACAGACATATGGACTTAAATATAAGGTTTACAATTGTATGGATAATGCCTGTTTGTGTTTCATTCATCACATGATATCGTGCGTCACTCACTCTGGCCGATTCGATACGAACCAAACGAATATTGCTGATATTAACGAATCGGTATTTTTAATTTATTTTTGCTAGTTGTTCCTTTATTGCATTAAAAAAAAAGTTATCTTCGGAACCGTCAAAAAAAAAAGATAAAGCCATTGATTGAACAACTGCTTATTTTTTAATTATCAATCTGAACCTGGCTTAAACTGGCGGTAATAGGTGCGTTTACTTTACTTAAAATACCAGATGAGACAAAAGTATTTATTTTCATATAGGGATCAATTTGTGTACCAATACAATATCAAATGTACGTTTGAAATAGATTATCAATTTTTATCAAAATTGTATAAAAGAAAATTCAATAAAAAAATACAATTCCTCAAGCGGAGCGAGGGCGGATCGCTAGTATTAGATAAATTAAAACACGTGTTTTTAAACTTAGATTTATTTTTATGGACATAGATCTAAATCAGGTCGATGTACCAAGCAAATTTGTCCGGATTAAAGTCCCTAGTGGAGTGTCCATAGGCTGTACGATCGCCATCGCTATCCCTTGATTGGCCGAGTTTCAGAAGTTTGTCGTACTCCTTGTTGATGATGTAGAACAGGAGCTTGCCATGATGTCGGACTGGTTGCACGTACCACAAGTGCCTGTCTGAGTCGTGGTTAGTAGATCCATATACTCCGTGATCACCAGACCTGTCTCTAGAGTTACCCAGTTTCAAGAATAAGACAAGATCTATGGGACGTATCTTGAAGTACAGCCTATCTCCTATCCAGTAAGGTATGAACTTCCATGTAACTCTAAACCTGGTACTGGTATCGGGATCGCCGTAGGCCGTTCTGTCTCCATCAAAATCCTCGCCGAGACCGTATTTTAGAGCGTAGTTATACTGGTAGCTGATTATTTTAACGAAGAGCAGATTTTCGTGCATTCGGATCTCCACAGGAAAGAGTGCTCGGACAATGAATGTACCACTGGAAGCCGTGAGTTTGTATGCGTAATCAAATATTTGAGATTTGCCATCATCGATGAGCCGGTTAATGACATTCATAATAATGAAGTCGTGTCTGTGGGACAAATTGAAAAAGTGTCCATCTGTAAACAGCAAATTATAGTTCGAAAACTCACCGAATTAGCGCTAGTGTAGCAAGAGGAAATAGTATGAATATAGAAGTTTTAAACTGAGTGAGATTCAGCACTGTTCAGTGCTTTTATTGCGGAGATATTCGTTACGTTAAGGACTGACAGTATACAGTCGCAGTAACTTAACATGATTTCATAAAGTCCACACGGGTAGGTACCACCAGCTTGCCTATTTCTGCCGTGAAGCAGTAATGCGTTTCCGTTTGAAGGGTGGGGCAGCCGTTGTAACTATACTGAGATTTTAGATCTTATATTTCAAGGTGTCAGGTGTAGAGATCAACACGAAGGAAGTAATAAAGCATATTAAAAAATTAAAGTCAGAAAAAAGCCCAGGGCCAGACGGTATATCCAATGAAGCTTTAATATTTGGGACTACTTTATTAGCGCGTTCACTTTCATGCTTGTTTACCAAAATTCTAAGCACGGGATTAATACCAGAACAGTGGAAGAAAGCAGATATCATTTTGATATATAAAAAAGGTGACCCTCGAGATATAGGCAACTACCGACCAATTAGCCTTCTTCAGAGCATATATAAACTTTTTACCTCTATACTATTAAGCAGAATCAGTAGCAAAATTGAAAACCTACAACCAAAAGAACAAGCGGGGTTCCGGTCAGGTTTTTCAACATTAGACCATATTCATGTAATGGAGCAAATAATAGAAAAGTACAAGGAGTTCAACAGACCAATATATATAGGTTTTATCGATTACGCTAAGGCATTTGATACGATCTCACATGACGCCATCTGGGAGGCACTGGACAAATGTCAGGTCCACGACAAGTACAAAAATGTCTTAAAGAACATTTACGACAAGAGCACCAGTTGTGTGAAACTAGAGAACCGAGGACCTGAAATACCTATTCTAAGAGGAGTGAGACAAGGAGACCCACTTTCCCCGAAGATCTTTATAGCAGTGCTGCATAACATTTTTGAGGAGCTGAAATGGAAAAACGAAGGCCTTAAAATATGTAACCAATACTTGAGTCACCTCAGATTTGCAGATGATATAGTCCTCTTAGCTGATAACAGTAGAAAACTAGAAAAAATGATAAACCAANCTATTTTTAGTTGAATCCAAATAATTGAGTTTATTTCTTGTGTTTGTATTAAACTTTTGAAATCTACACTCTTTTGGTATATTTTGTAATTTTAAATTAAGACACAAAATACTAAAAACTGAAAATAATGTAGCCAGTCCTAAGCCTGGTAAAAGCATGAAGGAAAGTTTTTTTGATATTTTTATTTTCATGTTCTTTTTATTACTTTAAGATCATATTATAAATTGATATCAGAAAACCAACCGTATAACGTTGACTTAAATCTATATCTACTACGATATTATATCAGCGTATCGTTTCAAATCTCAAATATCATGAATCGAGAAAATCTACTAGCATCCATCAATATATAGATTCAGAAAATATATAGATTCAATATCCGATATTGATCCTCGATATATAGATACGATTCGATACGCGGCAAAACCGATATTACCCACTCCTAGGTGGTACCCACCCGCGCGGACTCACAAGAGGTCCTACCACCAGTAACCAGTACCAGTACATTTCATGAAATGTTTCGCAATTACTCCATTGGTTTGTTTAAAAGACATCGTAGTTGCTATAATCAACACAAAATGGCTAATTGTGCAAATATGAAGACAGTGCTTTTTGTAATATTCAAGCAATATTAACGTTTCAAAGAATCGTATTGTATTTTCTTGTAATCGATCTCACGTGTTTAAAACCCTAGCGCAGTGATTCTCAACCACTGTTCCGCGGCCATTTTTGTGTGCGGCCAAATTTCAAAAGTGTGCCGTCAAATTTTGCGAATATATAATAATGTTAATATTATTAAATTATATCATTTTAAAAGAAAAATATTTTAAACATGAATATAATATATTTAAATCCACCAAACAATTTTTATAGTATATTGTAGTTTATTTCGTATATTAAAATGTTTTGATAAACTATTTATGTGGTGTGTTGTAGTAAGTAAATAATTTTTATCTTTTTTTTTGTGTGCCGCCAAATTTTGAAATCGTTAAATATGTGCCGCAACAAAAAAAAAAGGTTGAGAATCACTGCCCTAGCGTATCGCCTATATAATATGTATGTATGTGTATATATACCTGCGGGATTTCAACAAGGGTACAATATGAGTGGGCATCCATAATCCTAACGTTTAGATCAAGATGACTATAAAAATCTTGATATTGTATTATTTTTTGATTGAGTTAAGCTTTTTGTTCTGATATAAAAATTTTGGGGATTAACGTTACAGTATGTCTAGTGTTGAGCAATTAATGAGGTCATACTAAGTATTTCACTGGTGGTAGGTCCTCTTGTGAGTCCGCACGGGTAGGTACCACCGCCCCGCCTATTTTTGCCGTGAAGCAAAAATGCGTTTCGGTTTGAAGGGTGGGGCAGCCGTTGTAACTATACTGAGATCTTAGAACTTATATCTCAAGGTGTGTGGCGCATTTACACTGTAGATGTCTATGGGCTCCAGTAACCACTTAACACCAGGTGGGCTCGTCCACACATCTAAGCAATAAAAAAATTAAAATAAAAAAAATATATATCTGGGAATGGTTAAGACAACATTGAAGATGTTACAATATTCCAGCGGAAACCATTACAATGATATAACCTATAAAATATGTATAATGACGCACCCATTAGTTTATTATTCAAAACAAATCACAATCTGATCTTTATAATCACAGAAATTAAGCCTAAGTTTCATCCCCAATACGTAATTTCGTTACAAAACAATAGATATATATGTATATCGTCGTGAGAAAATCTCTAAATAGACATTTGTCCTTTACCAGTACTTGTTATTTGGTGAGAAATAATATATGTTTGTATTAAGACACTGAATCTAGGACAGTGATTCTCGACCACTGTTCCGCGGCACTTTTGTGTGCCGCCAAATTTCAAAAGTGTGCCGCCAAATTTTGCGAATATATAATAATGTTAATATTATTAAATGATATCATTTTAAAAGAAAAATATTTTAAACATAAATATATATTGAAATCCACAAAAAAAAATGTATAGTATATTTTAGTTTATTTCGTATATTAAAATTTTTTGATAAACTATTTATGCAGTGTGTTGTAGTAAGTAAATAATTTTTATCTTTTTTTTTTGTGTGCCGCCAAATTTTGAAATCGTTAAATATGTGCCGCAACAAAAAAAAGGTTGAGAATCACTGATCTAGGATAAAGAGAGCCGGAAATTATGTGTTTGGAGCAAATTTTATTACGAGTATCTTCGTCTTAGTGGATCACGATTGCGGTCCGGTGGTAGATTCACAGAGCCCTGTTCTTGCTAGAACTAGTATTAGCAAACTCTTTGTACCTTAGCTCCTCGAGAAGTACTGGCAAATAAGTAGGAAAAAAAAGAGAACATCTAGAATTTTGCTAGCAAATCCAGCCAAAGAGACCAGCATAGTCTTAATACACATACGGTATTGAAATATACTTTCTTTTTTAAATGTATAATCAAATTGAGATTCGATAAATTTTGTGGTCTTTCTTAATCGCCGGAGTCATTTTTATATCCGTTTACTCTTACAACATTTACAATCTACATTTAAAAAATTCAATTGTTTATACGGCTTTTTTAATTTATTGCCTTTATAGGCAGACGAGCATACGGCCTACCTGATGGTGAGTGGTTACGGTCGTCCGTGGACATTGGCAATACCATGGGTAGACCCACTCCATAAGCCTCGTTTGAAGGACATGTCATAGCTTTTTTATTTTATTGCTTAGATGGGTGGACGAGCTCACAGCCCACCTGGTGCTAAGTGGTTACTGGAGCCCATAGACATCCACAACGTAAATGCACCACCCACCTTGAGATATAAGTTCTAAGGTCTTAAGTATAGTTACAACGGCTGCCCTACCCTTCAAACCGAAACGCATTACTGCTTCACGGCAGAAATAGGCAGGGTGATGGTACCCACCCGCGCGGACTCACAAGAGGTCCTACCACCAGTAAAGAGGTCCTACCACCAGTAAAGAGGTGGTAGGACCAGTAATTATGCAAATTATAATTTTGCGGGATTTTAGCCCCAAATGACGTCACATTATTACCTTATTATAACATTTATAACAGCGTTTTATATAGTCTGTAAATGTGTTCTCCAGTAAGCATTTTATACGAGGTGAGCCGTATTTTGTGAAGTTTGCGGGTCAACTTTTAGCATAAGAAATATCAGATTTCGTATACCAGCACACAATAGCAAATTCCTGTGGCTAACGTGGCCATGTGTTCTAATACTGTATGAATACATTTGCTGTGATGTAAATCAGTGTTGCCACAGCATTAAGGTCGTGTTGCTTAAAAATAGGAAAAATGCATGCCCAAGCAAGCATTTAAATTTTAAGCACTTTTTTGGAACGAAGTTCCTTATGGGACGATGCGGAGGGGTACCCTAACCGAGAAAAAACGTCCGTAACGTAAGATTTTTATTATTTATGTATAGTCTTAGTATGGAAGCTATACAGTGTCTAATCAAGCTAATGCATAGTCTATGTGATGACGGTTATTATTATTATTCATATAAATAGCTGTTTTTTTCTATACATTTATTAAATATTTTTTATAAAAATCATTGTGAATAAAATAAAGTTGATAACTTTGTAAAGTAGTTTTTTTAGCAATAAAAAATCATAATAAAAAATAATTATTTTCTTAATACCTCGAATAAAACTTAAAATAAATATTTTAATAACAAAGAACTTCGTTCCTATCCGGTGTCCCACGACACCACACATCTTTTTGTTTTTCTATTTGTCCTGCCCAACCAGTATTTCGTTTGAGCATACTGAATTCCTCTTAACGTTTACTACAAATCTAATTCCTACCCAAGGTTCACACTGTATTTATGTAGACAAAAGGTGTACCTTTGACTAACTTTTGTTTTTACACGTTCACGTAATATACCTATTGTATTTTTATTTATTTTTTACTTCCATTATACCTTAAAATGCTATATTGTATGTATGTATGTATTATAGATAGAATCTATCTATAATACATCTATATCATCCTATCGAGGACATGTTGAACTGGCGTGATATGGTCCAGCGGAACCCTCAAACCCTAGAGGTCACGACCCTCAGCTGTGAGGGTTTACGACGCAAGGAGGAGGACGCCTTAAAAACTCTTTTTTTTATTTTATTGCTTAGATGGGTGGACGAGCTCACAGCCCACCTGGTGTTAAGTGGTTACTGGAGCACATAGACATTCACAACGTAAATGCGCCACCCACCTTGAGATATAAGTTCTAAGGTTTCAAGTATAGTTACAACAGCTGCCCCACCCTTCAAACCGAAACGCATTACTGCTTCACGGCAGAAATAGGTAGAGTGGTGGTACCTACCCGCGCGGACTATCATTTCTAGATATCACTACACTATATTGCCAGTAAAGGCC